CTTTGACCTTTTTTCTCGTATAAATCAACTGAAATTTTGAAACAAAAAGTGACGTTGAACTGAAAAATGAAACTCTTCATTTAGAAAACGTCAAAATGTTCTGGCAATTTCAAAACTGTTCTTTCCTCCCACGTTTCTAACTGGGAGATTCGTTGAAACCAAACTTTTCCCGTGAACAGCTTCGGTTTGGACAAATCAGCATTTTCCATAGAAAAATCTTTTCTATGGAACATCCCCAGCCAGCTCTAGACAAGGCCTTCGAAGGGAAAGGCTCCGGAGCCTGTTCCCTGTCCTCTGAGACCGTACACTCCCCGTTGGCTCTCAGTTGCAGTAGAGAGATCATTTTGCAAAGCCCTCTGAGACCATGCTGAGGGATGCTATACAAACGCATCCTGTCGTATAGGTGACATCCGCCCAGCCCTGCAGCGCTCACTCTTACTCTTGCATTTCCTTTAAGTTCCCCTGTCAGCGCAAACCCAGCCTGCGGTATTTCAAAAACTCCCCCAACGTTGGGCATCCTATTTTGACTTCTCATTGAAGGCGAGACCAGGAAGGAAATGATACAGAACTGGCCGCATCTTTTTTTCCATTCAGCGTGCGGAGACATCAGCTCTTTGAATTCTCACCTTGACCGTCTCTGACTCACCCTTTTGTCCAAGACCACAGACTCTGTGATGTGGCTTCGCTTGTTGCATTTTTATTTAAATGAGGCCAGTAAAAAGCACCACTGCACCGTCAGGGCTTTTTATAGCCTGCATCGTCAAATCTTTCCGAAATCCAATTCAAGACAATACGCATTCTTTCCATTTCCACTTCTGAAATAATGCAGCCGTTGGAACTGGGGGCATAAAATGCCAGATGATGCAAATGAACCAGATAAGAACGGCTATGCTTCCTTGGTCCCTATGTTCCTTCAGAAAGCATCACATGGAGCAGCAGCATTGTCTAGTAGGCCAGGCGCTGTATGAGGACTCAGGAGACCTGGGATCTATTCCAAGCTCTGCTACTGACCTGCTGGGTGTCCTTGGAAAAATCGCTTAGTCGTGCCATGACTCAGTTTCCCCATCTGTACCATGGGGATAATAGCACTGCCCTCCCTCACAAGCGGGTTGTAAAGATCCATACATGAAGAACTGTGAGATGCTCAGATACTAAGGCAGATGCCTTGCATCTGAAGAAGTGAGGTTTTTACCCACGAAAGCTTATGCCCAAATAAATCTGTTAGTCTTTAAGGTGCCACCAGACTCCTTGTTGTTTTTGTAGATACAGACTAACACGGCTACCCCCTGATATCAGATACTACGGTAATTGGGGCCAGACGAGTATCTAAGACAGGGACTGCCTTTCACTGTGTGACTGTGCTGCGCCTGGCACGATGGGATCTCAGCTGGAACCCTTGTGTGTTACTACAATAGTCACTGCTGTATTTCTTTGTTTATTACAGCCTGGCAAAATTCCAGCCTGCTTTTCACCAGAAGCCAGTCATTATTTTTTGATGGATGAGTAAAATGTCATTCCTTTTTCCATCTACATCATAGTCAAAGCAACCCAAGCAATTCTGGGCCTGAGCTAGGCAATTTTGCAAAGCCAGTTCATTTTCAGCTATTTGCATGGTGGAATAGGCTCAGAACTGGAGCGGGAAGTCTAACAGATTTCCCAGTTCACTGGCAAATATGGGGGGGAAAATTGTTTCAAGCCAAACTAAACACAAAATGTTTCAAAATTTTCTGCAAATCAAAAAGTTAAAAAAAAAAATCATGGTGGGTGGAATGAAATATTTTGTTTCTGACCACTTTTATACATTTTTGATTTTTTTTTTAAATAAAATTCACGCAAAAAGGGACAAAGTTGTTTTTGAACCGAAAAAGCAAAACGTTTCGAGTTTTTCTGAATGTCTTTGTTTGTTTTCGATCAAAACCATTTGGCAAAACAGGCACAAATTTGCCGAACGGTCGATGTCACTGAATCAGTATCGTTCACCAGCCAGAAGTTTTGGATGAAAAATTTCAACCAGCCTCACTCACGACACCCCCCTCTTGGGCCTCACTCCCCAGCACGTGCAGTCCTTTGCCCCCAGGCGACATGGGTGCAGAACCCTACCATTCCAGTCAAATAAAGCGGGACAACCATTTTGCATTGGCATAAGTGATGGCACTAGGACCAGGTCAGTCAGTGTGGTGATGGACATTCAGCGCCCCTGTGCTGTTTCCGTGAGTCTGAAGGAAACGGGATCCTCTGACCTTACTTCAGCATAACACAAGCGATAACTTCCTGCTGGACACACAAGTTAAGGCCCTGATCCTGCCCTGAAAACCGCCTGGTCAGACTCCTGCACCCAGGTGGACTCCCATGATTTTAATGGGGTTCTGTGCAAACAGAGATTTACCCAGGCAACTCTCAGTGCAGGTTCAGGGCCTAAAACGAGCAGACAGCAGCATGGGGCCATCACGGCTTCTGCTCATTTAACACCAATGAGAACCAGACAAGGTGGGTGACGGTTTCAATGGGATAGTCCGTCTCTTTGGGTCCGCAGCCCCCACCGCCTGCCTCCTCCCAGAGCCGGTTTCAGTTCTAGGCGCTTCGAAGTTATGGATCTGATGTGAGCAAAAGACATATTTGTAATGGGTGGTGTGTGTGTGCGTATGTGTGTGTCTCTTTCTGTCTGGGAGAATCAACATACTGCAGTGTTAGAAAGACATCGTGTGCTAGGTCTAGGGTGCCCAGATGTCCCTATTTTATAGGGACAGTCCCAATATTTGGGGCTTTTTTTTTTATATGGGCTCCTATTTCCCCCCACCCCCGTCCCGATTTTTCACACTTGCTGTCTGGTCACCCTAGCTAGGTCCCAGTTGCTGCTGATCGTTATTAAAAACCAGGAGGGCAATTTGGAGCTAGCAGAAATAATCCAGCACCTTCAAATAATGGGGCGATCTACTCTTGGAAATACCAGACATGCCCCATCCAGCGTGATTTCTGTGCAAATACTTGCCAGTGGTACCTATCACCACCACAGCCTATCCCCCAGGGAGGCGTTCACTGCCCATGTTATTGGACTCTTTTGTAGTCTAGTAGACAGCAGCCCTTGAGCTGGGGTTGCAGGACGGTAATTATTTACTCCTACAGACATGCCGCTTGTCAGATACCTGCTCTTGTCTTCCATGGGTAAAATCCTTCAGCATTTTTTAGAGCATTTACCTTTAGAATTGAGAAAACGGAACATCTCCTATTATAGGCTCAGAGAACTTAAGAGATCCCCATGCTTTGATATAGTCTTAGCATGATCTCTAACAAGGCTCCGTTACAGAGCATGAACCTTATGAAGATTAATTCATTTGAATTCTAAGTGTCCAGTTTATTTTGTAGCCGAGGACGAATGGAGGTTAATCACTATACCCTGTTTTATCTCTGCAGTGTTGGGAGCACAGTTATCTCTGTACCCGACTCAGCAATTCCTGTTTGTCGAAATTAGTGCTACGGCAAAGATCCCCTGTTCTTCCAAAGAAAAACTGGAAGGAGGTGGCATTTCGGTTTATTGGTACAGGAGAAGAGAAGGTGAGGGGCCCACCTGCATCAAGAAATGCTTAAATGATCAAAATGTAAGTAAGTTTGCCTGCAAACCCGAGACACACGGCATGACACTGGAAATCTACAATGTCCAGCAGAACGAATCTGGTGACTATTACTGTGCTGTTAAAACCAGCAGCTATCTGATTTTTGGCAATGGATCCACACTGATTGTTGGAGGTAAGGAAAGATAATGGTGTAACGCAAGGGGAAAAGTGATCGGCAATGCTGAGATGTTAAAAAAAAAACCCTGGAAAATGGAACAACATAGTACCATTTTCAAAGCTGAAATGGCTGAAAAGGGGAAACTAAGCTGAAAAATGACAACGAAACAGAGCTGCTAAGAAGCCGATTTTGCAGTTTTGGGGGATTCAATTAAAAATGTTCAATGGTCAAAGATGACAGAGTTTATTTTAAAGAGCTCCTGAATAATAATAATAAACCCACCTAGCACATACCTAGTGCTTTCCACCAGTAGATCTCAAAGCATTTTAGTTTTACTCTCAGCACTATTTATAGCTGCCAAACTGGGGATGTTTCTGACCTAACAGCCATGAATGCATTTAGCCAAATTTATCCTTTTCTTTTTGCAGAATGTTTGACTTTGAATCAATCCCCATCTCATGAGATTAACATTCCTAAAATCCGGTCAGTTACACCCGTGTAATTGTATTGATTTCAGTGGAAGTGTACAATTGTAACAAAGTAAAATTGGTGCCCTTAATTAGATAATAAACAGCCGGCAGGTCTGTTGTGAGTCAGACACAGGATGGAACAATAAATTCTCTGCTCTATTCTGCTCAGACAGCTACACCACCGGCAGCTGGGTTTTGCTTCTTGCTCCATCTCTCCCTGGTCTCATCTCCACTGGGACGGTTGATCTGGCTTGCATTATCCATGGAGTTTCCAACCCAGTCCAAATTTCCTGGAATATTTCTGGGGATTGGCAGGAACAAGCACTAATGCGATCACTGAAAGCAAAGGATGGATCCTTAATGCTCATAAGTCACATTAGCATCCCGAAGGATGCCTGGACCAGTGCGAAAATTCTCACCTGTGAAGTCAAATTCAACTCTTCTGGCACCAGTGTGAAGAAAAGTGCCAGGTATATTGAACGTGAGTGATTTTATATTTGCTTCTGGAGTTAGAGGGGAGTAAGATCTAAGCTATAGCCATGGGAGGCGCCCTCAGTCAAAGCTGCTTTGAAATGATAAATTAAAAAAATAAATAATTTGTCATCACGGAAAGCTAGAATGTATGAACCTTTTAGTTAATTAGGTGCAGAGAGACTTGCAAGGAACTTTGAGAAGGGAAAGAAGAGGCAGTGCAAGAAAACGCCACTCTTCTTTCTGAGGCCATGTCTACACTAGGAGTGCTTTGCTGGTGTCGAAATACCAGTTTGCTAGACGGGATAGCTCAGTGGTTTGAGCATTGGCCTGCTAAACCCAGGGTTGTGAGTTCAATCCTTGAGGGGGCCACTTAGGGATCTGGGGCAAAATCAGTACTTGGTCCTGCTAGTGAAGGAAGGGGGCTGGACTCGATGACCTTTCAAGGTCCCTTCCAGCTCTAGGAGATAGGATAGGATACTGGCAAAGTGCTTCCGGTGTGGGTGCCGCTACACCAGGAAAGCTGTGCTTTGTACTGGTCTAGCAAAGCCACTCCCACGAGGGAACAGGCAGCACTAGTAAAAGCCTACAGTAGGAGCCCCTGTCAGTGAGGGATCACACCTCTTCACATCTCGACGGGAATAGTTTGGTCGGCAAAAGTCTGTAGTGGCCTGAACCAATGTGCACAAAAAGCCCATGTGCGAAGTATGTTCCACGGTGAAATAGTACCAAATATCCCTGGGAGAGGTGCTCTCATGGGGCACAGAAGGGAGAGGAGTGGCAGAAGCTGCAGAGTAGGTTCTGGGAACAGGCTAAATCACTGACCCAAGGGAATATTATTCATTGGCCTAATGAAAAGGGAGAGTGAAATGGATCGAAGGCTCCTGCTGGCTTGTTCTGCAGAGCTAAAAACTCAGGGTGAAACGTTACACGGTAGAGCTGGTGGGGAATTTTTCAATTAACCTTCTTGTGCCAAGAAGTGTCAGTTTGTCAAAACCAAAACAGTTCAGGAGAGAGGGTCAGTTTGGACAAACCTCTCGTCTTGACCAACTTTTGGAGGAAAGCTTCAAAATCGTGGAAATGTCCCTTTCTACGTTGCTGCACCGGAAAGTTTCAGTTTTTCAGGGGAAACCTTTTTGTGGAGACGTTTTAGTAAATTCAGACTAAAAATAGGTTAAGAAGAAAAGGTCAAAATTGAAACCAAATATTTTCAATGACCCAAACCCGGGGTTTGTTCCTTTGTTTGTTTTGGATTTTTGGGTCACAGAAATTTGAGATACCGACTTTTTCTCCCGATTTGGGACGGGAACATTTTTCAATGTCTGGAGAATATTCAGGGGACTGGCAAACCGTGTTCTGCCCAGCTCCGTACACGCTGTGCAATCATGACCGTCTCTACTCAAGTGAGCCAGTTGTGTCTGCTTCCTCCCCAGGCTTTGACAATGGATGCTTTCAGTACGCCGTTCCCCTGGCAGTAGGGGGAGCCCTGGTGCTGTTGATGGTGTCTCTGAGCCTTGTTTGGATTTGCTGCCCTTCCACTCGAGGTAATGACCACAGCTCATCCCAGAAACTCCTGCAGAGCGAAATCCCATTCCCATGCTTCACCCCAGGGCATTATTAGCTCCTGGGATGACTGAACACACTGTATATTAGACAAACCCCTGTCAGGGATGGTCTAGATAATACTTACTCCTGCCACGAGTGCAGGGGACTGGATTAGATGACCTCTCGAGGTCCCTTCCAGGCCTATAGTTCTATGATTCTATTTGTCACGCTGCCTGATCTCAGTAGCTTTGTTTTCCGAGGGTCTGATTCTCCACTGCCCTGCAGCTTGTCTGATTCTCTGCTCACTCCGCTGCTGTGAATCCAGCCAACCCCGCTAAAGTCACTGAAATTACATGCGTGCCAAACGGGTGTAAAGGGGTAGGGATTCGGGCTCCTGGGATGGTCATGTAACCCTGTGCAAGGTGGGTTTGAAACGCTACCGGATCAAAGCAGTGCTGATCGACTCCGATCGGTGCCGCTGACTGCACGGGGTGCAGGGCAGACCGAATCAGGCCCAACCTCTGGAACTTGTTTCCCACCTCTGGAGAAAGGTTTGATTTTGGCGATGAAGGGAGGCGATGGACCCATGGACCTGCTGTGGGTGGAGGGGACTGTTTTCAAAAGTGACCGAGGGCCAGATTTTCAACGGTCTTTAGGCACCTAGAGACACAGAGAGGCGCCTCATGGGATTTGCAAACGCACCCAGGCATCTAAATCCCACTGACCCCCATGGGAGTTTGGCACCTCACCTGCTGCGATGCTTTCAGAAATCCCAATAGGCGCCTATCTGCATAAGCACCTTTGAAAATCTAGCCCTTGTGAGCATTGAGACTTAGTCCAGGTCTCCACTTGGAAGGCTTTACTGGTGCAGTCACATCCCTATGGCAAAGCGCCCCTAGTGGGAGCAAAGCTTTGTTTTTACTAGTACAGATTATTCCAGCTCCCCCACGTGAGAAAAGCTACACTGGGAAAAGTGCAGTTTTGCTGATACAACTAAGTCTACACTGGGCCGTCTGCCAGCACAGCTGCGTCAGGCAGGGCTTACATCTCTTTGTACCCCTGCCCGACAATGAGGCTGGCAGAAGTCTGTAGTGTAGACCTGGCCCAAGTCCCAATGACTTTCAATGAGACCAGCTCTCCCAAGGGCAACGTTTTCAAAAGCACCTAAAGGACGTAGGTCCCAATGGGAGTTAGGCACCTAAATCTTTCTGAGGATCTGGTCCTTCCCTTAGGTGCTTTTGAGCAAGTTATTCCTGGTCCATATTTTGTCAAGTTTATCGGTGCTAAATCTCTGAATATAACCATCTGTCTGTTTGCCCTATGCTGGGCATGGCGGAGCAATGCCCCCACACTGCGCGGGGGCCCCATTAGTCTGTATGCTCCTTTTGGGGGAAATGCCAATGGAACAGGACCTTACAAATGTCTCTGTCTGTGTCAGGATTCCAGGCCTGCAGCTCAGCATCGCCAGCCCCAGAGGAGCACCAGGTACGGCGTGTTACCAGCTTTCTCTGTCGCTGCCCGTCTCAGACATTTCAAATGCTCCCATTCACTTAGGGGCCTAAATGGATTGATCCATAAAGTGGCTTTAATGGCAATAGTAGCAGAATGGGGGTGGGGGAGGGAACTGGGCTCTATCTCAACTCTGTGTGTGATGTTGGGCAAGTCCCCAAATGGCTCTGTGCCTCAGTTTCCCCATCTGTAAAATAGGGAGAAGCAGGGGAATTCTGGGAGGTTTCATTCATTGGTTCCAGTTGTAAGATCTTCAGGGCAGAGTCTGTCTCATGAGATGAGCAGGTCATTAGCCCTTAACAGAGAGAGGAAAGATGGCCCAATGGTTAGGGTACTAACCTGGGACTTGGGAGACCTGGTGTCAATTCCGCTACAGATTCCCCATGTGACATTGGGCAAGTCACTTAGCCTCGGTGTGGCTCAGTTCCCCTCTGTAAAATGGGGAAAATAACCCTGCCCCACAAGGGGGCGGGAATAAAGACATTAATAATTGAGGTGCTCAGATACTAGAATAATGGGGGGCCAGATAAGGACCATAAAGAGAGAGAAATAATATTTTAAAGCTCTTTGAAATTTGCAAAGGAAAGGCCCTGTAAGAGCAAAGTTTGTCACTAACCAACTTCTTAAAGTCAGACTCCAGGGACGGTTTCCACTTTGACAAAACACCATGGATAGGGAAGGCAGAGGCGGAAGAGGGAATTTTTAATAAGGTCTGGGGAGGGTAAGCTCACTTGGATGGTCAGTCCTGTCACAGTTGATACCAATACAGGAGGGGGGGTTCATTTTCCTGACTGTCACCATGCAGGATGGGCTCGTATACTGTCAGCTGGATTTTGATTCGAGGCAGCGTGGCCGGAGCACGATGGAGCGACCGGCGAGAGGGAAGAGTGAAAAATCCTGACCTACCTGGTACAGGGGGATCTGAACTGGCAAACAGACTGCTGATCCGAACGGGATGAGCTGGATCCTTCCTGGCTCCCAGGTCTCGTCTAGGCTCAATCTCTGCACCGATCGAGCAAAACCAAGTTAGTTATGTTAGTGTAGGGACGCGGCTTTACAGCTAATTAAAAGGTATTGGGGTTAGTTATATTGTTCCTGTACAAGCCATGCCAATAAACACCATTTGTAACTGTGTACACACTGGGGCTTGCATAGATTTAACACAGTCGTTTCCCCTGATTTAGTTAAACTGGTTCACAAATGGGATGGTTAGATCCCCAGCTGGTATCAGCGGTTATAGCTCCATTGCTCTCAGTTCACACCAGCTGGGAATCCGGCCCAGCCTGTAAATTAGCCTCTTTTTCTTTCAGTCTTGAATTACTGCTGGGAACTCAGCCAACCGGCCTTTACTCTCCTGCTGTACCACTAGTAATTCCCACGGGTTTGCTATGGGGTTGTGTGTCATATACAACACGTGCCTGCAAAGCCACAGAAGTACTGGCGTGGGGTCTATATGTGTCGTGCATCATTGTGACCTTGCGTTTTATCCACGCTTCAAAAGCCTGGCTGGGATTTGGCCACACATCTTTAATTAAGATAATCTCCTAATTAAGGCTCAGATTTGGTCGCGGATAGTTTCAGTAAATTCACGGAAGCCTGTGACCTGTCCGTGATTTGTACTAAAAATATCCTTGACAAAATGGGGAGGGAGGAGAGTCCAGCACCTGCCACCCACTGCCTCTGAGCCGCTGCAGGGTCCCCTCGTTGCCTGCCGCGGCTGAGCAGCTGTGGGGTCCCCTTCCCGTCTGTGACGGCTGGGCCACTGCAGAGAGCCCCACTGCCCACTGGGAGCTCCAGGGTCCCCCTACTGTCCACTGGCAAGGAACCGCTGACAGCTCCAGCCCCGGGGCAGAAAATGTCACTCACGGAGGTCTCTGGAAGTCATGGATTCCGTGACCTCCGTGACATAATAGTAGCCTTAAGCATAATTACTGGGATTAGATTAATTTTAAAGCCGTGCTGCAAAGTCTCAGCCTTGTTGTAAAGGATCCAAGCCAGGGGAAGCCAAAACAAACATGCCCCCTTTAAGAAGGTCTCAGGGAAGGAGCAGACTTAATACATTTCACAAGGCCCTGGTTCACAGCTTCTAAACTTAAGAGTCAGCAAACAAAGTCTCTGGGCCCATCCAGGCTAGTCCCCAGGACCTAAGAGAAGCTACAGCCTGCATAACTTCTAGTCCCCTCCTTCCTGCTCAACTTCCTCTTCCTGTGTAAATAGCCCACCCCCAGGGCAAGGTAGGGTAGGGGGATCCTTGATTGTACCCAGCTTGACTTCAGCAGTCCTCTCCAGACAGTTCCTTCAATGGATAGTGCACCCTGCCATGCCTGTCTTCACTGCAAAGTTCACTTGTGTTATAACTCGATTGTTAACTCAACCCCTGTCCACACACAAAGAACCCTTTCTCCTGTGTGGCGATGCTAGTGACATGTGCTGGCTGGCTCAGTTGGGGGTACGGGCTAATGCCTGATTGAGCACAACTTTGTCATCTGCTAACACGACCACTCTGTAGTGTGGATACAGGCTAGGGCTGCGACTCAACTCCTGAGGGCCCCCAGCCCTCCAATGTCTTCCCACAATTCCCCTTTGGCTGCTTGTCCTTGCCATTTACCTATTCCCTGACTGGAAGTCACCTATCAGTTCATACGGGCCCCACTTACAATGAGGGAACGCTGAACTCCTATTAAATGTTAATCCATTTTATGGGCTGTCCCGGGAAGTGCGAATATTTAAACCCAGACTGGACTCACCCTTGGAGTAGAGGGGAAAATACTACAGTCCAGGCTTCTCAACTCAGACAGCTAGAGGACAGGCCTCTTGCACCAACTGACCAGCTTTCCCCAGTAAGGATCCGATGTACGGTTGCCCTGCCCCTTGTGCAATCAGATACCCCAGTGCAAAGTGAGCGCGATCAAAGGGTTTTCACACACTCTGATGGCACAAGCTGCAGGATGATGGTGAAACAGGCCCCAGGAGAAGAAGCTGTTGGGGGAGAGAAACATTCTGGAAAGACTTGACACGAAATGAAACACCAGATTGAACAAAAATGCTATTCCCGGCACTTGGTCTTTCTTCTTATTCTTTATATCTTTGTCTGTGTTACATCACTGAAATTTAGAACTGGCCTCTCTAGCTAACTTGAGTAATGGTCTCAAGTTGCAGTGGGGGAGGTTTAGGTTGGATATTAGGAAAAATTTGTCACTAGGAGGGTGGTGAGGCACTGGAATGGGTTACCTAGGGAGGTGGTGGACTCTCCTTCCTTAGAGGTTTTTAAGGTCAGGCTTGACAAAGCCCTGGCTGGGATGATTTAGTTGGGAATTGGTCCTGCTTTGAGCAGGGGGTTGGACTAGATACCTCCTGAGGTCCCTTCCAACCCTGATATTCTATGATTCTAACTGCATGCCCAGTAAGCGGAAGTGTTGCTAAAACTGTCCCATGTCAGCACCTGATGTTGCATTCGCTATCACGATGCTACACTGGTCCAGTTAAAGGACATCCTAATTTAGGGGAATGTATTGGACAATACAATACTATACGTTGAAATGAGTCCGACTATAAGTGTGCTCTTCCGCCCTCTAGTGGTGGTTGGGCCACATATAGAGGTTGATGTCCCTACTCCAACTTTCGGTAATAAAACTGTATCTTTTAGCTCCTACAGTAGATGCTCATGCTTTTAGCACCAGAGGTCCCGAGGTTTGATTCTTGCTGCTGACAACCCACTCGGGTGGGGGCAGCATCACACAAGCCAGGATCTAAATCAGAACTTCCTCAATAAACTGCTCACAAAGCTTCAGATCTAAGGTTTTAGATCAGGCCTAACAGTAAATTCAAGTTAATTTTTAACTCCATTTCCTCTTGACAGGTTTATGGGAACATTTGCTTGAGACTAGAAGTTGGTGGTGTTTGTCCGGGTTGAGCCAGCCAGAAGGAGCGGGGTCGGATGGCGTCTTTGGGAAAACTGTTGATTTAGATTTGGTCTTTGTGTCGGCTGGGGAATTGCATGTTTCACATTATGTAAAATAAAAGGAGCAAATATGATTTGTGCTCTTCAGGGAGCTACAGCGTTTGTGAAAATAGATGGCAGAATCCCCCTTCCCCCCCACAAGATTTAAATTCTCAGGTGAATGATCAAAAAGACTAAACCACGCTACAGAGCTCTCTCTGCAAAGCATGAGAAAGCAGTGGTGGTCAGAAAGGTCAAAGCAGCCGGAAGTTTGTTGTTTACTGAGACTTTGGCTGTAACGTATTTGTGGTTTGTTTAACCCACAGACTCACAGCTTCTGAGTGTAGATTTTCCAACTAGCAAAATACGTTTGGTTTGCTGCAGTTTTTCACTAATGTACTTGGTCAAGAATAAAGACTGGAACGGATCCTTAGCTGGTGAAAATCAGCCAGTGCTCCTTTGGAGTCAACGGGCCAGATCCCCAGCGGGTGTAAATCAGCATTGCTCCACTGAAATCAATGGGGCTAGATCCCCAGTTGTTGAAAATCGGTGCCGCTCCACTGTAGTCAAGGGACCAAATTCCCAGCTGGTGCAAATTGCCATCGTTCCATTGGAGTCAAGGGGCCAGATCCCCCGCTGGCGTAAATCAGCATAGCGCTATGGAAGTCAATGGAGCAATGAGAATTTACACCAGCTGGGGGCCTGGCCCCTTAGTTCCATTTTCCTTGCAGTTAGTTGGCAAATCATGCATGGGGGTAAGTATCCCCTGGACCAGCCTGTTTGGGCATCACACACGCAGGTGGCATTCATAGCTGGAGCTCCTCTACATACTGAATTCTGCTCCGGGGTCTGCCTGTCACCTGCTCAGCATGGATGCAGCCCCTGCCTGCTACCCGTGGGGAGGGGAGCGGCCGCCCGAGAGCGCTTACTAGCGCTGCTCAGAGTCACAGCCTGATCCATTTTGACTGCAGCCTTCCTCACCTCCAACACTGGTAACCCCCTGTAACTCTCCCTACGCAGGGCCGAGCCAAATAACAAGCTTAACGGCTAGCACAGCCATACGGCACTTGGAGGGGCCTCTCTCTCCTCACGCACGTTGAATCACTGACGTGGACAGGACAATCCACTTCTTTACCAGATATCGCCTTTCACAACAGACATTCTGATCGACGACGGAGGGTCAGAGCCTGGCCTAACTCCACCGGTTGACAGCCACTGGAGATCTGGCTCGGTGCGTGGTCAATCCACACATGAAAACTGTAGCTTATCCCTGTCACCATACCTGATCATTCGGCTATCAGTGCAGAAAATATTCTCACTGGCACGGTTATAAGATTGTGCTGAGCTCTCCACAATGGGCTTAAGGAACCAAGTTAGAACGTGGATTCATAGATCATTAGGCCAGGAGGGACCACTGACATCATCTGGCCAGAAGACGTCCCTGAATTAATTCCTGCTTGCTCTAAAACATGGGTGGGTGCAGGTTTGCCCCTCCCCATGCGAGAATTCCATGCTGAGCCACGGTTAAACTTGTAGGGGTCGATTGTCATTTACTCCAAGGTCCTTTTGCATCACTCGGACTGTGTAAAGGGGCCTTAAAATGCGGGTTAATTATATATATGCTCATTTCAGGCTCCTTTGCGCCACCAGCGTGGCACAGAGGGACGTAGTGACAATGAGGAGGCCTCTGGCGGCGGTATGGCTGGTGGCGTGAGCGTATCTCGGTTATATTTTTAGATACAAGTGATATATATTTTGTTTTTCAAAGCTGTAAACAAGTTGACTGAGCTCACTGCCTGCGACTGTGCGGTTTCCTACCTCACCCCACTGTAAGAGCAACAGCGCATTTCCCATGAAATGGACCTCGCTCTTTGAACAAAACAAAACTCGTCGAAAGGCGGGCGCTGCACACTCTGTGTCACAGACGCCCGGCCTAGGTGACATTTCAGCACTGGCTCTCGCAGCCCAGCCTGGCCCCGCAGGACCCCCCCGGCTGTACATCCTCTGTACACACGCCAAACCTGCCGCTGGCTTAAAGCAGCCAGGGTTGCTTAGCTGCTGCTGCCTGTGATAATGATAACATCTCTGTGATACTGTACTCTGCTTCTGATATTAAACCCGCAGTTCCTTTAGGGTCATTCCTTGGCTGGTTGTGCTTTAGATCACGCCTTCAAAACCAGACCAGGGGCAGTGAGATCGTTGGGCAAAATCCTACATCCCGGCAAAATTCAGCATTAGCAGGAGTTTTTCCTGAGTCAGGACAGCAGGCTGGGTCTATATCTCGTATGATTAATCTCCGTTACATTTGGGTCCCTTTACATAGTTCTGGCAGTGAATGAGTTATGCCCACTTATGGGCCCCTTGACACTACCAGGGCAGCGCTTCATTTGTAATGAAAGAGGTGCCAAGGATCAAGCAATTCGGTGCCGGGACTCAAGTAATTTTTTTTCATTCAGAACTGATGCAGCGAGCTCAGAGATGCCGGGGCAACGCACTGCCAGGCCTAGAGGAGACAGGACTCAGCCCTGGCAGAAATTAAGCACTGGTAAAGGGGCTTAGTGCAAATGAGAATCAGGCCCCCCAGACTCATTGTAAGAGGCTCCTGTTGTAGTGGAAATAAGCCCATAGAAATCATAAAACTATATAAGCACAGTGGCCCAGATCCGCAAAGGTCTGTAAGTACCTAACGCCCATTGATTTCAATGGAAGTTAGGAGCTTAAATACCTTTGAGGATGTGGGTCAGTGTCTCCCCAGCATGGCCCCGCCTACAGAAAGGACCAATCATAACCCTCCCGCAACACTAACTTCCAGTTGTACGGTGCTTTCAGGATTCCGAAGCACTCTGGACTCGGGCTGTGGTCCTGCAAGCTGGTGAGCATCCTCACCTACGTTTGACCTCAGCACATCCCAGCAGGGGCCTCAGCACCCTACAGGACCAGGCCTTTAAACAGTCTATAGGAATTTTGTCATCCACCAGCAAAACGGCTTGGAAGATGGTAGCTGGTTAACAGCCCCACGGCGACCCAGCACTACAGCTCAGGACGGGAAGTGAAGCTGCATCATGTATCCAGTTGCAACAGCAACCCGAGTAGGCTGCTGTATACCCACACGGGAAGCTGGCCAAGGCACTGGAGATAACTCCTCTCCACTTGCTGACAGTGTACTGGGCACCATCTGCCGCTGTTCAAGACCCCAGTTTTAAGTCTCATCAGACAGAGGGCCCCCTCCTGCTGCCTTGTGGGTAAAATGAGCTCAGGTTGAGGCCCTTCTTCATTCATTTTTTTATTGGCACTTGTGACATGCAGCAAGTTTAGTCCAGATATTAAATTAAATGTACAGGGCCCGATTCTGCTGCCTGGGACACCACTGTGAAGCCGGCGCAACTCCACGGACGGCCACCGATTTACACGGGCACAAGTGAGAGCAGAACCTGGCCTGCGGGATTTGCAGAGTCCCCTGTCAGACACAATACGTTGAGCTGCAGCATCTCACCCGCGGAAAAAGGCAACGGACGCTTTAGTGACGAGATTGAAGTTTTAATAAGTAGCGTTATGAGAGTTTGAAAAGAGCCGTCTGTGATCCAAATGGGCACATGTGCAGCCTCAGTGGCTTTTATTGATTACCTGTTATTATTAGATGGCACAGCCCGTGGGCTTCTAAAGATCTGGCCCTTCAAGAAAAGCAGGAATCAGTGGAGTAGCAGCCCCAGTGCTCAGACAGAGAGCCTGACCTACCTGCTCTTTCTAGATCCCTCTTTACCATTCATAATCTCAGCTGACATGCACGATGCATCACATGTCATTGCAAAACTGCAGCGGGTCCTCTTGCTAAGGGATGTGGTGGATTCTGCAGGCTTTATGTTCAGATTGAGTGTCGCTCTAAAAGCTACACCACAGCTCAAACACAAGTTATGGCCTTGAGGTTCTCTGGTCTATGACTCAAGAGGTCATGATGGTTCCTTCTAACCTTCACATTTATCAGTCGAGGAATCTGAGGGAGTCAACTCTGCCCCCCCAGAGGGGTGAGGGATTTGTTCCTAAATATGAGCCCTGGTTGAAAACTTTCCATCTAAATTCTTTTTTCCCCCGCAAGGGAAAATTGGGTTTTTGACAAAACCCAAATCTTTGATTTTTTTTGGTCTGAAGATTGAAAAGCCAGAAATAGAATCTCAGTTTGGTTTGTAGCTGAAAATGTGTTATGGGGTTTGGTTGCCAAACAGTGAAAAAAATCCTTCAACAAAAAGTTAACATTTGCTGCAGAAAATTTCAGGAAAAATGAAATTTTTTTGCTTTTATCAAAATTTTCCATGAGGGGGAAAAAAGCCATTTTCCAACCAGTTCTTCAAAATATGCAAATCAACTGAAAAGTCACCTGTATAATGATGCCCTTAGCACCTGTCGGGGGCTAATTCTTAGGGGGATTTTCTGACATTTATACTTTAAACAGAGAAGAGGAGAGAAAAAAGGATACAGCCAGAAAGAGCCTTATTACAGGTTGGCTAATCTCATGGAGATCAGCAGAGAACAGTTAGTTCCCACGTGTGGATTCCCCTGCACTAGACAGTTTATGGCTTTACACGCTTCCCTCTGGCCGGTCGCTGCATCTTGCGCCCATCACGATTCCGCGAATCAAAATCCAGATGAGCGTATAAGATTCCACCCTGTTTGGCGACATTTAATAAAATTAGCCGCCTCCTTGTAAAATGAAATGAAACAAGCTGAGAGAGAACAGAACACGCAAGTGAGTTTGGCATCCATGGACCTTACTAAAAATTCCTTCAGTCTCTTATTCTCACGCTTTTCCTATAAACGGTGTGTGTTATGAAAATGGACAGTGCCTCTGACTTTAAGAACTCAGTGATAACGTTTTGCTCTCCTCAGGGCTTATGCGCAGCTCACGGAAATAACAAAAACTCTCCGGTTCATTTCAGTTAGCTTTAGATCAGGTCTCAAGCACTTTTCAGTCGAGAATCTTAAATGTTCTATTATTTATTCGTTAAGTGCCACCAATATGCCCTGCACTGTATAAGACACAAAGGCTCAGATCTTCAAAGTATGTAGGTGCCCAACTATGGGCGGGAGGCACCTAAATACCTTTGACAATCTGGGCCAAAGCGAAGACACACTGCCCTGAAAGAGTGTACAGTCTGAAACAATAATAAATTAAACGTCCTAGTATCCATGTGAATTAGGTCTTGTTATCTCTTTTTGTATATATGGGAAAACTGAGGCACGGAGCAGGTAAGTGATTTACCGAATGGCCAAGTCTGTTAGTAGCCAGGCTGGAAATAACACCTGTAGGCCCCCAGTGCACTAAGGTGAAGGACCCATTAGAAATGCCTGAGACAGACACATTGATTTAGACAGAGATGGTTTGTAACGTGACGTACCTGATTCTCCTGTGAAGCTGGAGGCGCTGAGCTCCTGGGCGGAAATCCTGGAAAAGACAGACAGAGACAAGGGTAAAAGTTCCTCTTCCACAGTCACTCCCCCAGCTGTAGTTCATTGACTAATGGTGCATCCGAGCTGTGGGTGCGCAGGGCACCACCATGCATGGCAAATAGAGAGGGGCTCATTTGAAATGCTGGTGCTCTTTGTGAACTATACACAAGCTGCCTGGGCCATGGGCAATAGAAGCCTTTCTACATCGCTCCCTTTGTCACGGAGAACAAAGCCATTCTCCCGACACAGGAAAGTCACATTCTGAGCTCAGACTTGGTGCCCATGAGATTAATAGTGTGTCCGTGTAGCACATGGGATAACACTCGTAAATCCCAGGAGGAGGGATGGAGTGGGATCACTCCCTGCAGGAGAACGTTGGGGATGGGCAGTGTTTATTACCTAGCCTGGGACAGATGAGGGTCCAGATGAGACTCAGAGACACCGTCAACAGCATCAGGGCACTCAGCACCGCCAGGGACACAATGGAAGGCAGGCAACTACTGGTGTGGGCTGTGGAGGTGGATAAAAGAAAGACACAAAAGGCTTCCTTCAGCAGTCCTGCCTACACTTTCCAAGAGGCAGTGTGGCCTAATGGATAGAGGACAGGGACTCGGGAAACCTGGAGTCTGCTCCCGGCTCTGCCATTGGCCTGCCGGTTGAGCATGGGCACATCACAGCTACTCTCTGTGCCTCAGTTTCCCCATCTATAAAATGAGGATAGTGATACTGACCTCCTTTGTAAAGTGCATTGAGATCAACGGGTGCACTAGATAAGAATTAGACATTTTCTGTGCTTCTGTTCCCCATTTTACTCTCTAAAGAGTGAGGCTACAGGAGCCTTCAGCACCTTTCACCCTCTCTGTTGTTCCCTTTTCGTCAGGCCAATGATTTTTCCTGTAATCAGAATCTTCTCTGCACCTTCTGCCGTCTACAAAATCCTCCCTGTAGGTCTCTCCTCACCTCATCGTCTCTCCATTACTTTGCATATCTCATTGGAAAACATCTTCTCAAATGCCTCTGAATTCCCCTTTACTCCTGATATTTATTATTATTTAACTCTTTACAGTGCTTTATATGGACAGTCTGGGAGAAAGCTGCCCTACAGATCAGAGTTACATTGTCTTGTGGTCCCTGTAACGTCTCAATTCACCTTTCCCCAAATTCTCTGGAGAAATTCTTATTAAGACATAGAATATTCCAAATTTCTGTAATGGAAAATCACATAGAAGCGGCTCTCAGCATGGTCACATCCATATTTTACATCTGAGTTTCCATTACCCTCAAATGCAATATCACTCACCTGCAGGATACCTGGTACTTTTCTTCACACTGCTGCCACAAGAGTTGAATTTGACTTCACAGGTGAAATTCTTCCCACTGGTCCAGGTGTCCCTGGGGACGTTGATGTGATTTATGAGCGTTAAAGATCCATCCTTTGCTTTCAATGAGCGCGTCAGCCCCTGTTCCTGCAGATCCCCAGAAACACTCCAGGAAACATGGACTGGGCTGGACACTCCATGGATCACACAGGCCAGATTCGCTGTCCCAGTGACTTGACTGCCATGTGGAAATGGGACCAGAAGCATCACCCAGCTGCTGTTGGTATAACTGTCTGAGCAGAAGGAGGTGCGAATTCAGTGTGATGATCAGATGAGCTGCAGTCTGATTAAAGATGTTAATCTTCCACTAAGAGACAAGGTGGGTGAGGTAAAATCTTTTATGGGACCAACTTCTGTGGATGAGAGAGACAAGCTTTCGAGCTTCCACAGAGCTCTTCTTCAGATCTGGGAAATATATTCAGAGTGTCATTTCCCAGACCTGAAGAAGAGCTCTGTGGAATCTCGAAAGCTTGTCTCTCTCACCCACAGAAGTTGGTCCCAGAAAAGATATTACCTCACCCCCCTTGTCTCTCTAATATCCTGGGACCAAGACAATTACAACAACACTGCATACTATCATTCACTAAGACATTAATTCGAAGGAACAAATCTATTTTGAAGAAGGAAATATGAAATCACCATGCCAACACTAACTAGGATATAGAGCAATACGCAGCTGCACTACCTAGAAGGAAAATTTTTGTGCAATTTTATAAATTTCATTGACTTTTTTTTAACTCAAAATATTGTTTCATGCCATCATGGCTCTTAGGTTAAAAATATTCCCAACCTGGGTGCCTTGAACAGTCAGAGAGAAACTTCAGTAGTTTATTTTCAACACTTTCAAGTTTTTACATTTTTAGTTAAAATTTATTCCTTCTGCACCGATAGCATTTAATGTTTAGCTGATCTGTTTGGCTTAAAGCATGCTTTCTCTTTAGCCATTCAGCAATGACTATGGTCTCTTGTCACATTTTAATGGGAACATGAAATACGCTTTGTCAATCAGTTGTTAGTTTCCTTAAACAAGGTATGGTTCCTTACCTCCAACAATGAGTGTGGATCCATTCCCGAAAATCAGGGAGCTGGTAATTCTAACTGCACAGTAGTAAATGCCAGAGTCAGTCTTTTGGACGTTGCTGATTTCCAGTGTCGAGCTGTGTGTCTTGTGTTTGCAAACAAATTTACCTACTTTTTGATCATCCAAACAGCTCTTAATGCAGGTGGGTTTCTCACCTTCTCTTCTCAAATACCAAAATATGCTACTGCCTCCTTCCAAGTTTTCTTTGGAAGAACAGTGGATCTTTGCGGTGTCACTAACGTCAACAAACTGGATCTGCTGAGTCTGGTACAGGAATAACTGCACTCCTAGCGCTGGAGAAATAAAATATTGTTATAGTCAGTGTCCGTCAGGTCTCCAACTGCCACAGATGGACTGGACAGCTCAGCAATAGAATTTACTTAATCTGATAATATTTATCCTCTGCATCCCAACTACTTAAAAAAGCTGCTCTAACTTTGTACAAGTGAACGGAAATGCAATTAAAATCCAGCAAAAGTTTCCAAACATATCATAGATATTCAACACTGATGTCTTACTGAAGAGGCTGTTTTCTCAGTTCCAAAATTTAATGCAGGAGTTTTACCTAAAGAAGATAAAATGAGGTATTTCGCAAAGATCATTTTCATAAAATAGTAGGACAAAGATCCTGACTCACTGGCCCAAAGGCTGATGCCCAGTGCACTGCTGCAGTGACTGGGTTCAGTGTCCAGTGAGGAACGCCTCCGAGGAGGATGTGCTGTGGTGATAGATACAAGATGGGTGGGTTTAAGAATCTACAGAGGCAACAGCATTTCTTGTAGAATTTGTCTGGATTCCAGCAGTACAGGGGTGTTCTATATGATTTAGAATAATTTTAAATATTCAGAACATGGATGATCTATATAAACAAACCCACATGACTTGGGAGCACAAGTCCATTGATTTTCAAAGGAAAATGCTCCTAAATCACTTAGTTCTTTTGACGGCCCCAACCTAAGTCTCCACCCAGCTTTCCATGTTTGGGCCACTGTTGCTCCATACTTCTTGGTGCTACAACGCAGGCATGTAATGACCATTTGGCATCTTGTCTTGGCGGACTTAAATTGCACTTTAAATCATCAAACTGAAAGCTCTGACATGTTTGAGACATAAGACAATGAAGGATACACTTTTCAAAAGTGACTTCAGGACAGATTTTCAAAGGTATTTAGGTGCCTATAAATGCAGAGAGATGCCTAGTGGGATTTTCAGACATGGCTAAGACTGTTCGGTGCCTCATTACTACCGAAGTCAATGGAAGTTAAGCGCCTCCCCTTGGATCTAGCAATAAACTGGATAAAAATGAGCTGAATGGGGCTGGTTAGAAAGCTGCGTCCGGCTGCACAAACCACGGAGAGAGAAGTAAAGTGCATCTGTCAATGTCCTTTCTGAAACAGCTGACAATAGAGGGCAACGTGGGCTAGTGATTAGAGCCACTGGCTCAAAAAAGAACAGATTCCCTAGGTGACTTGGCCAGGTCTCCTTAGACCACACCCCACTTCTGAGGCTGCCATGAATGGCTGCAGCTCCCCTGGATCGATCTGTCACAAACTCCTTCCAGGCAGCTCTCTAAAGCTGGGGACCATCGTCCTTCTTTCCTTCCCTTCTACCCTCCCCTGCCTGCCTCCCTCCCATGGTTGGGGAGCGACCTGGGCTAAATCCTGCAGTCCCTGACTGAGGCAATGTTAAGTGGAAGCAGGAGTTTGGCCTGACGAAGGATGACTGGACTGGCCAAGATTCTGCCTGATTTCTAGCCCAAGGGTATTACTCACAATGACACAGCTTCCCCTTTGCACCCATGTAAAGAGGAGTTTAGAGGAGCAGAAATTACACTCACACCCACTTCCAGGCCCCTGGGTGTTATCATGGAGGAAAAGGGCTTAATGCAGATGAGAATCAGGTCTCCAGGCTCGCTGTTAAGGGGCTGAATGTTGTCAGTGGTAGTACAGAAAAGACCATGGAAATCATAACACTATTCAAGCACAATGTCTCCACAGCCCAGTTCCTGTAAGGGCCTGTTATAACCCTCCCAGTAATGCTGATTGACAATGGTACAAAGCCCTATTTACTGCTCTAGGGATCCCAGCATAATACTTTGCAATGTGCAGTACTTTAAGGAACTGAAGGTAGGTGCTGAGCCTAACAGTAGCTGAGCACCCACCACTTCCCTTGACTTTGCTGAGTGTGGCAGGTGCCTCAGCACCATGCAGGATCAGGCCCTCATGCTGGGTTACTCCTGGGGGAATTCTGCACCACTGTGCTGCGCAGAATTTAAGTCCCCCGCAGATTTCTTTACTTCCCCACAGGAAGGCCACAAAAGCAGTCATACGACCCTTCCCAGCAGTATGTTTTGGGTGCTCAGGGCAGCCGGCAGAGAGGTAAATCACTGTGGGGCAGGAGGGAGGACTGGGAAAGACCCAGCTGGTGGCTCCTAGCTAGGATTGGGAGGATGGGACTTCCTCTTCCCCTGCACAGCATCCGGGGCCGGGTCAGACCCACCCCGAGATTTATCCCCCAGCTGCATGAAGCTCTGCAAAGTCCCCCCCTCTTCCTGCACCCATCGCTCCTCAGCTGCAGGGGGAGGGATCCCTGTACAGGGAGCTGTTCCCGCATCCGCCCAACCCCTGTGCATCCAGACCCCCCCTCATGCCCTGACCCTCCCCCCTCGCCAAGTCCCTCTCCCCCTGCACCTGGACCACCCTGATGAGCCGCCTGCACCCGGATCTCCACCCCACCAAGCCCCAATGAGCTGCACCTGGATCCCCTTCCTCACCTTACTGAGCCCCTCTCCCCCAGCATCTGGACCCCCCACTGAGCCCCCACACCCAGACCGCCCTGATGAGCTCTATCCCCTCCCAACCCAGACCCCCCCTCGCTGAACCCCAACCACCTTCCCCTGGACCCCCCTGCAGAGTCCCATTACCGTTGCACCCAGAACCCCCCCAACAAGCCCCTGTGCATCCAGATCCCGCCCTGCACTCAGATCCCCCACTGAGCCGCTCGCACCCAGATTGCCCCACACACCCTCTGAACCCCCACCTGGATCCCTGCACACCAAGCCCCTCCACACTTAGATCCTGCCTTGCTGAGCCTGCCTGCCCACACCTGGTGCACCTGGCACGGAGGGGCAGGGCCCTGGGATGTTTCTGGGGCAGGCCCGGTCCTTGCGCTGTCAGGGTTAGGTGCAGCCTCACCACTGAGTCTGTGTCCTGGGGGGAGCTGCACAGTGATCTCCCACCTCTGTGCAGCCAGTGGTCTCCGCTCCCCAATGCCATGCTGGAGCCTCCACATTTATTGACAAATAAAATTGCAGAATTTTAAAACATTGTGTGCAGAATTTTTATTTTTTTGGCGCAGAATGCCCTCAGGAGTAGCTGTATATAGCAATGTCTTCATCCATTGTGGGGGTGGAGCAGGGCAGCTGTTTAACACCCCACAGCAGCACTACGCAGTGGCTTAGGGCACGAAGTGAAATGGAGCAATGTAGCCACTTGCAGCTACAGGAGCAATTTTACACTTTTAATGACCAGACTGGGGCAGAAAATGGATTTCCCACCCCACATGGGCATGGAGAACAGTTGATCACTGTCCTCTGTGAATCACCCCTTATCATATGTGTGTGTAACAAGTCGCATGTAACACATTTGTTGTGTCATCCTTCAAAAGAAACACAGTTGCTAAGTGGGATAGAAAGGACCGGATTCTGCTCTCAGAGACACCGGTGTAAATCCAGAGTAACTCCACTGACTGCAACAGAGCTCCTCCAGGTTTATACTGCTGTGAACCAGAGCAGAATCTGGCCTAAAGCATTTAAGAGGGCACCTTTCTTATTACACAATATGCTGAGATTGATGCATTGAACAGGTAAAAGAGGCAACACAAACATCACTAGTGGAGATGCCGTCTGTTTTTAATGAGTGACAGTTCGAACAACAGCTTGAACAACAAGTTGTGATGCAAACAGGCAGCGCGTGTAGGCTCAGGCACCAGGAGCGCTCCACTCACTGGTAACGTGTTGTTATCATTAGATGGTGCAGAGGGGCTGGCACGTGGGGATCTGTGGATCTCGCCCTTGGGGAAAAGCAGCAGACTCTAGAGCAGCGTTTCTCAACCTTTTGGATACCCGGGACCGGCTTGCTGCCTTCCTAAACTGTGTCAGGAAGATCTCAGGGACCGGCGCCGGACCATGGACCGGTCGTTGAGAAACACTGCTCCAGAGGAAGCACTGGAGTAGCAGCTCCAGCCCTGGCCTGGGGAGAGATTCTCATCCCTCCCAACTCCTGCATCCATCCTGCCCCTTCACGATCCCATTGCACGTCCATGTAACATTACAGCTGAGGATCAGGGGAGCTGGGAGCTGTGGCACATACAGGGGCTGCACGTCTCCTCTGCAGGCTCCTGCCGTCCGTCCTCACTCTGTGCAGGGAAGCTGCAGCCGTTCAGCTGTGGCCGGGTCCCTCTGCAGATGCGCGGAGGATGATGATTGTGTTACCATAGCACCCAGGAGCCCCAGTTATGGACCAGGCCCCTCTGTGCTAGGTGCAGCACAAACACAGAACAAAGAGACAGTCCCTGCCCCAAAGAGCTTCCAATCGAATACACAAGTGACGTGTAAAGTCATCTACACCCTGATGCCTTTATATCCCAAAAGGAGATTTCCAACCTGCTGAGGCTGGACTCTGTGGGGATCTTCTGACCTTTTTATTCTAAACAGAGAAGTAGAGACACTAAAAAAGAAAGGAGATGGAGACAGAGCCTTCTTCCAGCTGCTACGTCTGACACACATCAGTTCCCACGTGTGG